AGGGATTAACTCACTATGATACATAGATTCCTGTGCTCACTTTTAAAGATCAATTTTATCAGTTTTATTCTTAAATTTCAATAAATATGTGGCACAATAAGCCAGAAATTACCCCCCTAGCAACTGTTTGAGCTTGTGTTTAGATTTTTAACTATCCACTTAAAATGTGCAGAGATACACAGTATTTTCAAAATTCACCTCAATTCATTAACAAGGTAGAGAACAAAACCTGTGACAAGGGCCCACAGTCCTGGGCACCCCTGTGCGTGGGCAGAGGGGGGCTGCTGTCTCCGCCCAGAGGCCACCTCCCAGGCTGAACCTGCCCGTGCTGGTCCCTTCCAGGTGCTTCAAGCTGACGTGCCGGGCCGTGGGTGTCCACCCGCCCTTGGAGCTGTCCCACTACCAGATCAAGTTTGCGGCCACTTCCTTGTACGACACGTCCTTAGCCACCCTGTACGTCATCAACTCTCACCTGAGCATGAACTCGCTGACACACTCTGTGCCCCGCATCGGCACTGAGGACACCTGCCCCGTGGGACCCACGTCTTTCCAGTTCCTGCTGCCCCCCGACTCGCCCATCACCATCTCGCCCTCAGTGGGGACTGTGTTGCCGGGAAAGGTGGGTGTGGGCACCACAGCCTGGCTCTGCCCTTGACCACACCCGATGTGGGGTCAACGCTGCCCCTCATGAGACCCCAGCAGGCCAAGGAGGCCCCTGTGACCGGTGAGCAGGGCTGGGGTGGGTTAGTCTGCCAGAGGGTGTGCAGCTCTTGGACCTCACAGCAGGTGGGCACAGAGGCCCGGTCACGGAGGGGTCTGTCTAGCCATTGGATGGATCCAGGGTTTCCTGATAAAACAGAAAGAGCCGGGGCCGGAGACAGATGTCTCAGCCAGTCCCCCAGGCCATCACAGCCTCCCTGAGCTTAATTCCTCACCTTCAGAAGTCAGGGTGACAGCCAGTGTGAGGCCTGGGAGAGGCCTAAGTCAGAAGGGGCACACGGAGGTACAGGGAACGCCCAACCACCCCCAACAGGGCTTCAGGAAGTATGTTACTTAAAACACATTTCGTGATATTTAGCAAATACTGCTTAAGTAATGGTCTCCAAAGGGGATCATTACCATCGCACTTCTGCGTTCCCCTCCCCCACCCACCCCCCTCTCTCTCTTCCATTCCCCTCCGTCTCCGCCATCCCTCTCTCATTTTCTCTCCCCCCACATACACCACCTGTTTTGAGCCCCTTTGCTGTACTGGGCACTGGGAGACGACAGTGACCAGCCTTTTGTGGGACCCGGGACCTCCCCGTGGGATGGGCTGTAATATGGAGGTGCTTTGAAAGGGTGCTGTGCTGCTCATGGGACAGGTTGGGGTACAAGAACACCCCAAAATCTCAATGGCTGAAAACAAAGTTTCCTCTCTTACTCATGCCTCGTGGCCCATCAGGACCTCCGTCACGGGACTGCCCACTCCTCATGAGAAGAGTGGGCTCGGTAATCATGTACTGCAACCACCCCAAATTCCAAGGTGGGGGGGTGGTCAGGGAGGGCTTTCTGGAAGGGGCATTCTAAACTGAAATTCCTAAGAAAAGTGGGGGGTCACACCAGGAGTGTCAGCATGACCTCTGGGGATCCAGGAGCCATGGGGGCAGTGGGGTGCTGAGGAGGGCAGGGCACCAGCGGGGGCCAGCTCTGCCCCCCTGCCCTGCTCCCACAGAGGTGCCTGGTCGAGGTGCCCTCCTGCCCTGTCCCCACAGAGGTGCCTGGTCCAGGTGGCCTTCCAGCCCATGTTGCCCAGTGAACTGATCCACCAGCAAGCCTTCCAGGCCCTGATGAAAGACATGGAGATCAAATCGGTGCGTGGAGGTGCTGAGAGTTAGGGCCTGCGGAGCATGGGGTGGGAGCTGCTGGCTTCTTGCAGGAAGGCTGGGGAACAAACTCCGCCATGCCACCCTGGAGGGTCTCAGGCCCAGGCACCCTGCCAGGAGTGCCCAGTAGACTCTCTGCTGTTTCAAGAGGTTAAAACTCTTTCCTGGCAAAGCCCCTCCCTCCTCCCTTGAAAGCATCACCAGTCAGGGTGGACCCCCAGAAGGTGGTCTCGGGAAGGTGGACCAGCCCCTCTCACTGATTAGCAGGTAAGGGGAGCAGAGAAACCAGCGAAGGAGCCAGTGAATCTTAGCACAGCTTATAAGCACGGGTGAATCAGCCTGAGATTGTGAGCTTGAGAAAAGAGATGTGTCCATCCCAGGGGTAAAACCCTGAGGAGGGTCAGGCTGCTCACAGCCCTGCCGAGGCCGCTGCAGGTGGGCGCAGGTGGGCTCCTGCTGGAGAGCGAGTCTGCAGGGGCCACACGGGCCCCAGCTGCCCGGGGACAGGGACCCGCGGCACACTTCTCCAGCGACCAGGGCTTTTATCTTAAACATGTTTGCTCAAACACTCCCGGGAGGAGAAGCACTTGCCCTCACCCTGCCAGGGGGCATGAGGTGTTGGGGAAGGGCACCGGTGGCAAAGACTCAGGTTCTAGCCCGCTCTCTGCACTCTCTGTGCCTCAGATTCCCTGTTGCCGAAGGCAGACCCTGCAGTTGGTGCATGGGCCTTGGAGGGCTCTGCACTGGGGCCCTGGGTCTCCCTCCAGACACCCACTCATCTTTGTTGATCTTGCCCCTGCTGTCAGTCTTCCTGGGGAGCGGTTTGGGGTTTGGGTCCCCGTCCCCTACAAACCCATGCCCCCGGGTCCCTGCATCAGGCACCCTGCCCCGGCCTGTGCCGGGCCCCAGAGGAGCCTGTACTGGGTGGCTGGGGTGCCTGCCTGGCCAAGCAGAGCCTGGGGCAGCCCCACAGCTGGCCTCTCCACCTCACAGTTCCGCAAGGACATGGCCACCCAAAGGAAGGACCCAAAGGGACAGCCCCTCTCCCTCCTGCGGCTGCAGAACCGAGACCGACTGTTCCAGGCCTCCACCTCCCACAGCCTGGAGCTGCAGAGGCAGGACCTCAAGTGCAGGTGGCCCCACCACTTCCCTCCAGGCCCCTGTGATGGGACCCCGCCCCGGTCCCCACGGAGACTGCCTGCAGCAGAGCCGCTCTGAGCCGTGGGGCTGAGAGTCCAGGACTGGGGCGGCTCCAGGTGCAGCTAGATCCAGGGGCTGCCTCTAGGGCCCCAGGCGATCCCTCATGGGCATATCACCCCCCAGTTCCTCTGGGGCTGGTGTCCCTGCGAAGAAACTCAGGCTGCAGAAGGTATTGCGGCCCTAACTCCCACACTCTCTCATGGGTGCAAAGTGTGCCCCAGAGAGCTCTGGTGGCTCTCTGTCAGCCCACCCTTGCCTGTGGCTCCAGGAACGTGGCTCTCTGATTAGGTGCCTGACCAGGACTCTGGGGCATGGGGAGGCCCTCACAGGAACCTATGAAATGGTGGGAAAGCCAGCTGGTCACACAAAGCTGGACAGCCACAGCTGGGCTCAGCATGGCCCCCAGGCTGCTGCCCCTTATACCTCAGGCTCAGGGCCCTGGGGAGCAGGCCTTGTGGACTGGCCCGGGGAGGGTGAGGCAGGACCTCCCAGGTTGCTGGGGGGCAGTATGGGGGCACAGGGGTGAGTGCACTGTGCTGGCTTCATTCCAGTTCCAGCGAGTACCAGGTGGCCCAGGCCATTCTGGCCAGATCTTTCCAGGGGAAATTTTACAAGTTTGTGGTCCCTTGTGTCGTTGCCAGTGGCGACATCCAAGACCAGAAGGTGCTGGAACCCCTGAGCTTCAGGTGTGGTGCTCTGGTCAGGGTGGGCGTGGTCAGCCAAAAAGTCACTGTCCCTATTCTGCTACCAACTCAGATCTGGGGCAGGGGGAGGGGCCAGGGCTGGGAGTTAGGCTGGGGGAGGGGCAGGGGCACAGTGCTATCAGCAAACCCTGTCCACCCCAGTCCCCATAACACCCTGTACCTGGAGTTGTGGTGTCCAGCTGTGGCACCGTCCATCGTGGTGACATCCGACAAAGGCAAGACCGTCTCCAACTTTGGTGACGTCGCTGTAGGTGAGACCTGATTGAGCCCAGCACCCCCTCGCACACCCCCACCCCCAGGGGCCCAGGCTCCCCCAGAGACCCAGGCTCCCACGCCCCACCCTGGCTCCCCATTCCATTTCAGGACACCATGGCATAAAGAAGGTCTCCATCCAGAACATCTCCCATGAGGATCTGGCTGTATCCTTGTCCACACCCAGGCCAGGCAGCTTGCAGGGGTGGAGGGGGCCTGGGGAGGGACTGCGGGCTGCCCTCGCCACCTCTCCTTGACCTGGGCCCTCAGGTGGAATTCTCCTTGCTGAACCCCAATGGCCCCTTTGTCCTGCTGAACCCCATCAGCAAGCTGCCTGCCGGAGAGACCCAGGTTCTGGCACTGTCCTTCTGTCCCCATGAGAGCATGATGGTGAGTCCCAGGCCCACCCTATGCCATGCTGCAGCTTGGGCCTCCACAGCCCGCTCTCTACACTGCAGGTCTGCCCGCTGTGTACTCAGGCCTGAAGCTCACCTGCCAGGCCCTGGGGGCATGAGGTGAGGCCACTAGGGAGGGCCCAGCAGTGTCTGCTCCACGCTAAAGACATGGTCTCCATAGGCCCAAGAAACACTGGACATCATCACCGAGAGAGGCACGCTCTCCCTGACCCTCATCGGCACGGGGGTGGCCTCCATAATCACATGCTCCATTGAAGGGGACGTCCTCAACATGGGTTACGTGATTGCCAGAGAGTCTGTCTCCTCCAGCTTCAAGGTGAAGCACGTTGCAGGGGCCCTGGTGCCTGCCCCGGCCTTCTGGGAGGGGGGTTCCACTCTGAGAGGGGTCAGGCCTGCCTTGGTCAGGGAGCCTGCGGGAGTTCCAGCAGCTGCCACCTGCATTGCCCTCCCCAGCAGGGGCAAGGCTGAGACAGCCCCGCCATCCACTCCTGGCTGCTGGGGCCTCTTCATCCTCTTGCCTCAGGGCCTTTGCACAGCTGTCCCATCTGGGATGAGGAGGAGCTCAGCTCATGCACTGCTTGGTGAAGCAGGGGTAGCTTGCTGACTTCCAGGCCAGGTCACAGTGCCCTCTGTGCTCCCATTCCCTGCAGGAGGGCAGGCCTGGCTTCCAGTGCCCCTCCTGCACACCAGCCTTGGCATCCAGCCTCCTGCAGGATCCAGCCTGGCTTAGGTCGAGTCCTGGCCGCAGAGCTCAGAAAAAGGATTCCGGGAGGTGTTACTGAGGAGAGGGCGCTCTCAGGAGAAAGGGGTGGAGGGCAGGTTAGAAACTGGGTGACGGTGGCCTGGACCCCGAGTCTGCTCTAGGGAACAGAGGCCACACCAGCTAACCCCCTTGAGGCAGGGCGGCTCGTGCAGGGTGCGCGCCAGCCTGGGTAGGGCAGGTGGGAGCTCAGAAAAGAGCAGTCAGGGCCGGCCGAGTGGCGCGATGGTTAAGAACTGGCTTGGGACGCCAGAGGGCCCCGGTTTGGATCCCACATATGAGGGCCAGTGACACTGCCCTCCACAGCTAAGATGCTGAACAACAGCTCAACCTGGAGCTGGGCTGCCGTGAGTCGCAGGTGACGGTGTAGGCTGCAACCACTGCTGCAGTGGGTTGCCATGGGCTACTGTGTGTAGCCAGCAGCCAGCGTGAGCGGCCAGTAGCCGCAGTGAGCGGCCATCCAGAAGCCGGCGACTGATCTGCCTCACCCGGGAAGAGCGCAATGATGGTGCCAACTTGGGCCAGTGAAGCAACGCCCTCCACAACTAGACTGAAGAACAAAACAACAGCAACTTGTCTGTTCCCCTTCCCCCAATTCCCCAGCGCTGTTCCCATCCCCCAATTCCCCAATAAAAATCTTTAAAAAAAAAAGAGCGGTCAGCGCTGGCGGCGGACTCAAGGGCGGTAAAGGCCCGCTGGGAAAGCCCGCCGGTGGCCGGATGAACGGTCTGCTGACGGGCGCCCGGTCCCTACAGCTGCAGAACAACTCCTCGCTGCCCATCAAGTTCTCCGTGCAGCTGGACAGCGTCTCCTGCACGAGGTGGGAGAACCAGCAGCAGCTGCCGCAGTTCCTCGCCTCGCCCGCCCAGAGGACCGAAGTTGTGGGTGAGCTGGCGGGAGGGCCGGGGATGGTGTGGGGGCGTGTCTCAGGGCCCCGGGGTGGCGGGGTGAGGGCAGGAGGGGAAGGTGTGGGGGCATGGTAGGCGGGGCTCGGGGGCTGGCTGGGGTGCTGGGCTGGGGGACAGCTGGGCCGCGGTGGGGCGGGGAAGGGCGCGGAAGGGTGCGGCGGGAGGGGGGAAGCGCAGGGACCGCCACACCCCTGCCCTCAGGCACTCAGAACCACAGCGGCCAGAGCGTGTTCAGCGTGTTCCCTGTGGAGGGCGTCATGGACCCCGGTGGGGCACAGGACTTCACCGTGACCTTCAGCCCGGACCACGAGAGCCTGTACTTCTCCGACCGGCTGCAGATCGTGCTCTTCGAGAAGGTGCGGCTGCGCGAAACCAGCCTCACGCACTCCTTCCACCCTTCCTTGCGCTGCCCCACTTGGGAGGCCTGGGCCCCATCCTGGGGGCTCTACACTGGGTGGGAAGTCAGGTGAAAAGACCAGCATCCCGGGTCCACGGGCCGCACCCCAGCCCTGCGGCTCCTGGAGCCCCAGCTCTTGGGACGAGGCTGCTGTGCTCCCTGTCCCAGAAAGTCTCCCAGCAGATCCTCCTGAAGGGCATGGCCCGCGAGCACATGATGTTTGTGGAGGGCGGAGACCCCCTGGACGTGCCTGTGGAGTCCCTGACAGTGATCCCTGCCCAGGACCCTGAGCGCAGAGACGGTGAGGCCTCTGGAGGGTGGGTTCATTCCCAGCCTATGCCCCTAGCCAGGCAGGAGCGGAGCTCTGCTAGTGAGAGATTCCAGAAGGAACGGCTCCCCCGGGGTCCCTCACTCCCTCCAAGGGTACCAGCTGCACCCTCCCCCAGTCAGCCCCCAGCCAGGCCCCCCCTCTCCAGAAACCGAGGAGCTGAAACCCATTCTGGTGACACTGGACTACATTCAGCCGGACACTGACACACCGGCCCCCCCTGCCACCCGCGAGCTGCACGTGGGCTGCATCCGGACCACGCAACTGTCCCCTAAGAAGGTGACCACAGCACTGCCCCTGCCCACCCTGTACTTCCGCAGCCCGAGCTGCCTGGCCTTGCCCACGATAGGTGTGGGCTGGGCAGCCTGCTGGAGGGTTGAGGGGGGTGGAGCTGGGCACCCTGGGCCCCACACCCACTGCCTCCAGGGAGACCTGCAGCTTCAACGCCCACAGACAGTCGAGTTCAGCCTGGACAGCGTGGCATCCTTGCAGCACCATGGCTTCACCGTCGAGCCCTCCAGGGGCTTCGTGGAGCGGGGCCAGACCAAGACCATCAGCATCTCTTGGATGCCGCCCGCCAACTTTGATGTAGGTGCCACAGGCCGTGACTGGCAAGTCCCAGGGGAGCCAAAGGCTGGGCAGGATAACAGCCTGCCCATGCAGGGAGGGGGCTGTTGGTGGGCCCTGGGTGGGTGAGGTGGGCCATGCAGCTGCAAGACAACAGATCTGCCTGGTATTGTACCAGCTGGCTGAGTGGCCCCTCCACCCTTCCCCACTTCCAGCCGGACCACCCACTCATGGTGTCAGCTCTGCTGCAGCTCAAGGGGGACGTGAAGGAGACCTACAAGGTCTTCTTTATAGCCCAGGTGGTGACCAGCCCCTGAAGCCACAGGAGCCTCTCTATGGAGCACACCCCACCTCGGCCCTCCTGCCCACCCTCGAAGCCCTCCCCAGTCTGTAGGCCAGGCTGAACCACCCAGGGGCTGGGACCTGGGCATCTCCTGCTGGGCAGGTTCAAATGGGTAGCCCTCTGTATGGCCACATGGCCAGGGCACCCCAACCTCACAGCCACGGATACTTCCTGCTGCCCTGGAGCTAGTGAGCCCAGGGGCTGAGGGCTCCCCCTCCCTCTCAGGCACCCACACTCAGAGCCAGCAATTAGGCCAGTCCCGCCCACAATCTGCCCCTAGCCTCAGCCCCTTGGAGACCCCAACCCCACCAGCACCTGCCCCCACAGATCTGTCAATAAACCTATGTGCCTCTGTGTGCAGGCGTGCAGTGTGGGCGACAGCAAGTCATTCACTGGAGTGAGCACAGAATGAGAAGTGGAGACAGAACCCTGGAATCACTGGCAGGGTGGGTGCCAGGGTGTAGGGCTGGAGGTCAGACTGGCCCAACCCAGAGAGGCCCGGTGAGGAGGGAAAAGGGGGTAGGAGGCTCCAAAGCCCAGGCTGGCCCTTTGGGTCTCCCTGCTCCTCCTGCGGTCTAGAATCCCCAACGACCCCAAGCAAGGAGTGTCGGGGACACACCCTGGCTGGCATACTCCCTCACAGCCCAGCCAGGGGCCCCGGGTGAGGTCAGTGCATGAGTTTGGTTCCACTTTTCTGAGCTGAGTCCAGGCTCAGCCTTCGGGCTGAGACTAGCCCTTCAAGGTAGAATCCATGAGATGTTCCTGGAAGCTCAGAATGGTGCCCCCACCCCAGCCCCTGCCTCCTGAAGAATGGCTGGTTGGACACTGTCCTCACAGAGCCCCCCCAGCCTGGCACCCCTGTGCACAGCCCAGCACGCCTACCCAACCAACCTTCAGCCCCATGCCAGCCGCCAGGGGAGCACAGGCAGCCTTCCCTGGCAGGACTAGACAGCAGTGTGGTGCAGCCTTTCCTGAGGCCACCTGCCCTCACAGTGCTCTTGGTGCCTGGAAGCCTGCCATCTCCCTAAGCTTGAGCCGGTGACAGTGACCCTAGAGTGGCATTTTGTAGGACTTCTGTCTGGTGGGTAGGCCCAGGTTCCTTCCTACCTGTCACTGGGGCTGACCAGCCATAGTCCCAGCCACTTCCTTACCAGGTGGGGAGAAGTCTGGGTCCTGCAGCCCAGCCCAGCCCAGGCCCCAGGAGGGGGTTCTCCCTGCAGGGCATAGGGCATATTCCCGCCTCCTCCTTGGGTGGCCAGCAGGAAGGCCAGGCTACTGTCTTCTAAAGCCTGTCCTGTCCTTCCTGCTGGGGGGTCCTGGTACTCACAGGCCCAGGCCCTGCCCATGCCCCTCCCTCCCACTCCTGGGCCAGTCGTGGAGGGCAGTAGAGGCAGGAGGAAAGATGGCCAGCCTGGAGGGGCCCTGGGGGCTGCATCACAGGCCAGAGGTTCAGGACACTTCAGGACAGAGCCCCAGAAGAAATCAGAGATCAAGGGGCCGGTGCCTTGCAGATCCAGGCACCAGGGAGCCCAGCGAAGTGGGCCCTGCCCTCAAGTGGGTGAGGCCAGTTCCCTTCCAGTGGGGAGACAGGCACATAGAGTATGTCCTGAGTGCAGTGCAGGAAGGGCAGGGTCGGTAGTGGCTCCCCCCACCTTCCTTGGACAAGGCAGACCGCCCCTGCACCTTACCATGCTGACCACCTCCCTTAGCCTGACCACCAGATGGTGGAGCAGAGTGCAGAGTGAGCCTAACAGGACTCTCAGCCGTGTGTGAGGAGGGGTGAAGGCTAGAGGGGCCTCCTGAAAGAAATGGCTCCCAGCCTTCCCTGGGCAGAATAGACAGTGTGCACTCCAGGCCAACAGGGGTTCTCTGGGCTCTCTCTGCCTCCCCAGGCCCAGAGGCCACAGAAGCCACATTCCGCAGGCTGAGCTTGGCTTTCATGGTAGAGTGCTCCTGGAAAGCAGTCTGCAGCCAGGGCACTGCGTAGGCCCCGAGTCCAGCTCCCATTCCCGCTGGGCCTGCACCAGGCCAGCCCCAAGCAGCCTGCGTGTGCCTGCAGCAAGCGTGCACAATAACTGTCGTTGAACAACCGAGGAACGCGCCAGGGACTCGACCCTCGCAGCCCTTCAACTTGAACACCGCGGTGTGTGCCAAGTTTGGCCACATTTGTCCGGGCCTCCACCCTCCCTGGCCACAGCTTCCCAGGGGGCGCCCCTGTCCACACCGAGCTCGACTGCAGGACAGGCTGGGGGCTCCGCGCCTGGGACGAGGGCGAGACCTCCCCCTACCCTGAGACCCTAGGCTCAGAGACACGGAGGAGACCCGCCACGCCGGGGACGGGGGTCGGGGTGCGGGAGGGCCTGGAGGGGGGGCATCCAGTGGGCGGGGACTCGCGTGAGAGGTACTTTAGGGCGAGGAATCCTGGGCATGGCCACAGGACATGGCCTCCGACGGGCGGAGCCCGCGGTGGGGGAAGAGGCCTCTAAAAGATGCAATATCATTGGACGCAGAGGCGAGTGGGCGTGGTTGCAAGTCTCAGGGGCGGGGTTTGCGCTGGGCGGGGCCTCCATAAAGCGGCAGGGCTGCTGTGCTACAGCTCCGGGTCCGCGCAGAGCATGTTCCCGGGGGCGTCGGCAGCCCGCGGGCTCCTGCAGCTGCTGCTGCCGCTCCTGCCGCTGCCTCAGGTGAGTCGCCAGGGGCTCGGCTCGGGCTCCGTGCGGCGGGTCTGAGCTCGGCGCGCCCCGGCCCAGCTCACCCCTGTCCCCACAGGTGGCGCTGGGCTTCGCAGAAGGCAGCTGCGACCCTTCGGACCAGTAAGTTAAGTCGGGGGGAGGGAGCGGAGGCCTGGCCCCGCCCTGCAGGGAGGCTAGGGCGGGGCGGTCGGCCGGACCGGTGCCCCGCTTGCTCCAGGTGCCGCCGTCCCCGCAGGTGCCCGCCCCAGGCCCGCTGGAGCAGCCTGTGGCACGTGGGGTAAGTGGAGGCCGCGGCGCGGAGCCGGGTCCGACGGTTCTCCCTGGGGCCAATCCCATCAGATCCCCACCAGCCTGGCTCCAGGGCTGAGGAGTCGCCAGCACTGACCCCCTCCCGGCCAATGGTGGGAAGGCGCTGGGGCCCTCAGCAGCCTCCAGCCCCCAGCACCAGGGGCAGTCTCCTTTGCGGGTCCTGCCCCAGCGGGGCACAGCTCCGGGCACCCTTAGCTTTTGACCAGACTTCCCTTCATAGCCTGCTTGTCCACCTCCCACTCCCTCCTTCTCTCCTGAGGGAGCCCCCAGCAAACGTGGTCATTGGTCTGGGCATAGACTTGTATAGTCAGCCCAGGACAGTGTGTCCTGGGAGTGAGCCCAAGGCCACTTGTGGCCAGCCCTGGACAGACAGCCAGGACAGGCGCAGCAACAGGAGGCCGGGGCAGGCCAGCTCCTCAGGCCCAGCTCTGGCCAGGAAGGAGGTCTCTGGCCTGGAGAGACATTCTCTGGTTTTCTTTTATCCTGTCCATTTTCCTGTCTTGAGTGTTCAGGCCATAACCGCCCTCAGGGAGCAGGTCCCTAGTGGCTGGGGGTCAGTCCAGTGGTAGGGTCTTGCTTCCCCTGCCCAGGCTTATCCTGCTCGCTGTCCTCCTCCTGCTGCTGTGTGGGGTCACGGCCAGCTGTGTCCGGTTCTGCTGCCTCCGGAAGCGAGCACACACCCAGCCACACCTGCCATCAGCACCTCAGCCTTGCGACCTGACAGCTATCCCTGTGGACAGTGACAGCCCTGTGCACAGCACGGTCACCTGTGAGTGCCTACACACCTCGCCTAGGGGCCCGCCTGCCTGCCAGGGGAATGGGGATGGGTGAGGGCCCGACCACCCCACAAACGCACTCTGGTTCTCTGCAGCCTACAGCTCCGTGCAGTTCCCGGTGGGCATGCGGCTGTCCCTGCCCTTTGGGGAGCTGGACCTCGACTCCATGACCCCTCCTGCCTACAGCCTCTACGCCCCCGAGCTGCCGCCCTCCTATGAAGAGGCTGTCAAGATGGCCAAACCCAGACAGGAAGAGCCACTCCCCTCCCAGTAGCCTAGCCTCCTCCCTGGGGCCTCAGGCCCCCTCCCAGGGCCCTGGGAGTGGAGCCTCAATGCCCAACACTGCCAGCTGGTGCCCCTCAGAGTGGGCGGGGAAGCTCTCCTGAACTCCCACTGCCCTAGCCACCTGTGCTCACAGGAGACCCCCAGTCCATTCTCACCATCCTTCCCCGCCACCCGGGAAGGCCAGCCATCCAGCACATTGCTGCAGCCGTGGCCTCGTTGCTATGTAACGCCAGGCGGCCAAATCGGCAGGCCCTGTGTTGGCCACACACACACACACACACACACACACACACACACACACACACACACACAGGTTGCTGCATTCAGCCCAGCCCCTGGTCTGGCCCCAGCAGGCCCTCAGCCCAAGGGAACACCATAGGCCGAAGCCTGCAGTTTTTTGGAGAGAATAAAATTTGTATGTAAATGGTCTCTGCATGTAGGAAAGGGCTCTGGGAGAGGAGGTTGGGCAGCTGCCCCAGTGCAGACAGGCAAGGTGAGCGCTTGGGCCCAGCTTGCCTTCAGGCTGCTGCCAGAGCCCAGAGCTGGGCAGCGGGTGGTTTCACGTATCACAGCAGAAGTGATGGGCGGTGTGCCATGGTTGACCCAGGAAAACCCACTCCCTTCTCCAGACCCACATCTTTGGCAGGCCGGGGACCGTGAAGCACACACAAGTCTAGCTGGAGCGTTTATTAGCCACGTTGCTGGCGGGTGAGGTGGGGGGCAGGGTGGGGGGCAGCCAGCAGCGGCAGGCAGCAGCCTTCCTTGGTTGGGCAGGACTCCCACAGCCGAAGCAGCTGCTCCTACTGGACCAGCTTGAAGGACTCTCCGGTCATCATGGCCACGAACTCTGGGAGCAGAGGGACAGGTCAGCAGCCCAGCCTGGCCTGGCTGCGGGCTCCCAGGGCCCATCCCCCACTCACCCTCGTAGTCAATGGTCCCGTCCCCGTCCTTGTCGGCCTCCTTCATCATCTGCTCAGCCTCTACCTCGTTGAGGGGTTCACCCGCATTCATGAGTACATACCTGCGGACCCCTGCACTGAGTGGCAGCCCGCAGGGCACCCACCCTCACCTGCCCTGCCACCCACCCCACTGCCCC